AAGAGCTCTGTGAGTGCGCCTGTTGAGCCGTCATCGACTATTTACAAACTTGTCCAGGCGGTGTTGAAACGCGTGCTACGAGTTTCGCATCCTTTGCTTCAACTCCATGTCCTGAAACTCATCAAGAGTCAAGTTCCCTTCTGTGGGAGGAAGTGGCGGCAATGTATGTGCGATGATACAGTAGTAAACATTTGCACTTACCCCTTATTAGCAAATATGAAGGTGATCACGTCGATCTACCTGAACTGCCGACCGGATCTGCGCGATGAATGGCTAACTGGCACCGAGGTTGATGATATCTCCGACGCTCAGGTGTGTGACGAGTTTCGTCGTTAGCGTCCTATGCCGATGTTCTTCCAGGCACAAGAACAAGCTCTACGTCACCTCGTCAAGTATTGTATGCGTTTTTCCCGCATTTTTATATACCATACTCACTGCGACCTACTCATTAGACAACAACAAACGATACGGACCTCAGATCCCAAGTCAACAATCCCAGGCCCATCGGCGTTCCGTCAGTATTTCTCACAACATGGAAGGCCTACCTCCAGGGCTAGACCTCGGAAATATCATCCGACCAATTGGTACTCCGAACGTTGTCGAAGCTGATGTCTTCCCACCTCCGCGTTCTCAAGCACCGGATCCATCCATATTCCTGCCGTATACTACTGAAGATCTTGCGTTCGAGGAGGAATATGAGGAATACTTGTCTGACCTCGGGTGGTCCGACGATCAATCTGGCCTCCCGCCATTCGGAACGATCTCAACGGGCGGGAACGCATGGCAGCGGCTCCCAGAGCTGGTCACAAGCATCGCGGACAACATTAGCGACAGCGAAAGCGTGGTATCAATCGGTGATCTGGGCGATGACTCCAGATTTGACGTCGGTCGTGACGATCGTGACATCCCAGATGAGAACGTGAATGATTGGCAGGTAAGCCAATGCCTGAATGTTCAACACGAGTTGCACCTCATTCACGATTTATTTCAGCACATGAGCCCAAAGACTATGGCTGCGCTACCTAAATCCCCGGCAGGTAACAGGCGGTCTAGTTCAGGAGCGGGACTTCGCCCTGTTATGACGTTTGGTCTTGACGATGAGAATCCTGTCGACTTGGAGGATGAGCCTGAGCTTGGTCCCATCCCTCGTGAGAACAATCGTCCTTTCGCTTCTGGCGGTGGGGTTGATGAAGTCGAGGCTGTGTATGGGTAAGTCGCATCACTATTGCTGTGAGCATATCAAATTTACGTGATGGCCAGCGTGTAACGTGTAGACAGTTCGAGTCTTCTTGCATGCGTACATATCTGTCGTTTGATATTTGAAGTAACTTGTTTTCCTTCAGAGGACAACTGCCAAGTACATAGTCTAGTCGATGTCTTATCTCCATTACTATTTTTTATTGAGCCATCGAGGTTTTGCATTAGACCAAACATAAGCATCGCATCAGTATGCAGTGGGGAATTTCAATGAATCGTTCAAGTCGGTACACAACGCACAAGAGCGCTTGGTGCTGTGCACCGATGTGGCTGATCACGATGTATGGGCTAAAGACCTGGTCCAGACTATTTGAGAGTGGTTTTCCATGTAATGAAGGACTTCGGAGAATGGGCGTCCTACGCAAGTATGGGTGACCCAGAAATGACGGACATTTTTGAGAAGCAATTGATTGGGAGACAATATTATACATTGTTGGTTGCAGTTAACAGGGTAGTGAGATTGTTTTTTTCTAGCAAGTCATATAATTGGGGTCGAGCAGAGTGAAGGTGTGTAGTCCACGGTATCCGACTCATCATAAACAAAGCTTGGGCCCTTCAGCTGGACAGCCTTAGTCTCTCATAACACGAATAGAAGGAAGAAAGATCAATTCGTTCTTTATCGTACTGCATACACATGGGCTCTGAAATGAGCACGTGAGTCATTAACAATGACAGATTTAAAACTTACCAGTACACTCAACTCTGAATTGACAAACACTCCTTGTCCGCTTGCATCCGTGGACCGAGCTCTTCTAAAACCAATTTCTCGTATGTATTTATTTATTGAATGAAAGCTGAAACGGAGCTGCGCGCGGTAGTTGATTATGTCTTCAGCCATCGTTGGAACCAGTTTTCTTCCAGTCGATGATCTTGGGACGCAGAATACATGAGAGATAACGCCCCGCCAGGAATTTGAAGGACACGCCTATCATTGGGTCACTGGCGCCATAGATCTGCCAGGCAGTCAGCAGATGATGACTTGTCCACTATGGCTCGCTGCTGGTATGGAACTTGAAGACCGGGGATCAGATAGGAGAGGACTGGAGGGACAGGGACTGACAGGAGAGAGACTGGCGTGGCGATGAAAGTGGACTGTGGACGATAACGTTGCCTTCAAGTGGGAAAAAAGTGATTAGCGGGAGTTGTGATGCTGAAGTGAGGTTCTAGGAAACTGACACGAGCAAAGTGATCACGAAATGGATGGGACATACAGACGTGATTTCTGTCTGCTGGAGTCGAGATGGTCAACGAGTCTTGAGCGGATCCTTCAATAGGACTGCAAGAGTGGGACGTGGAGAACAGAGAAACGGTCCACGGTCCAATCGAGACTGGGCACAAAGAAGTGTCAGTGGTCTACTCACCAGACATGACCATGTTTGCGCCGCTGGACACAACGAACGAGCCTCGCCTCTCTCCGAGTCACCAGTCAAAATCTGGGATACGAAGACAGGCGAGCTTGTCGTCAATCTCAAAGGACACATGATTCGGTGAATCATCTGGCTCGGACCACAGGTGGAAAAACACTTATCTCCGGGTCAGATGATGATTCGATTAGAACATGGAGGACTATCACCTGAATGCAGATCGCAGTGCTGGAAGGGCACACCAACATTTTCTATGCCATTGTAATAGCCGCATCATCGCAAGCGCATCAGCAGACAACACAGCGCGATTGTAGAACCTCGACAACAACGGCCATCCCATCAGTTCGCCCCTCCACTGCCACGATACAGGTACAGTGACCTGTGTGTCGTTTTCTGCAGATGAAAGGTACTGGCAACTGGCTGCGATGTGACCAAGACACATACAAGGTTGGGAAGTTCGTGCGATAATCACCTTGCAACGGACTACCGTGTCAATAATAAACAATCGTAGCGCCGCTGACACGCCAGTTCCCGACTCCGCCGGCTCTCTCCATTTCCTGTTTCCGATTGCCGCTTCAATGTTTACTTCGTTCTTCCCACACATCACTACTCCCCTTGCTTTTCGATTTTGAATGTCTCTCGCGTTCAATGTCGTTTTGTCTTCCCTGTAAACTACTCAAACCTTCGGGCATCCTGATGCAAGGGAACGAAAAGGCAGACAATTCAGATTTCAACAACAAGATGGCTGAAACCAGTTTCCCACGGATGTACTTTCCCACGATTTAGTAGAGAATTCCGGCAAGACAAAACCACCGTGGGAGTCGGGAATCAATCAAAATCTTTATCAGTTCATATTTACGACCAGTTTGAGCGTATAGGCTCTTATCTTTGTCACTGAAAGTACTAAAACGTTGAGAACTGTAATGGCTGGTACAAAAATGGAGAGGTATCACCATGGGTCACTAACACTACTGCATTGCCGCACAACGTACAACTCCTGTCCAACCACTCAAGGTCTCCAATCGCGTACCCCCAGGATTTTTTGACCACCAACCGCATGTATGTCCTCAAGGTCCCACGCAGTCTTTTCCTGACCTCATGTTCTCAGTTTTCTGCCCGGTTCGATGCCCACCACACGCCGTCCCGACCACGCATCTTTCGAAACCTTCTCTCTGGCAGACCAAGTGGTGCACGGATAGTTAATGTCCTGTACGCCAAGGGAAAACGCGTATATCATTTTCTTCTCTCTTCAATGTCTGAACCCCATCTCATACCACAGAGGAACACGTAACAGCAACCAAACCCGAAAACTTGCTGCAAGCAGTTCACTGCCTCCCAACAGTAATACCGCACAAGTATTCGATGGCACACCTCACGCCCAGTCATCTTCGCAACCACAGACTCAAGCTGCCGTCTCCACGTTGTCTACCGCACCTGCCGTTACCGTCATTTCTGAAGCTACAACTTCATAATCCATACATCAAAAGTCCCCGCTTTCAAAAGACGTACGTCAGGCTGGCCACGAATCTCATTTTATATACCGCTTGCGAGATCTGTCCAGGGCGACCGAGATAGACCACGACTAATTAGTGGTGATCTCACAGCGACAATATTAGTTTTGTATTTCCAACTCATGTCGAGAAGTTTGCAGGAAGGGACGGAGCTTTGAGCTCCACCTGAACTCCACCATGACATGCACTCCACTGCTCCGCGCTTGGCTGTCTGCAGTCTGCGCACCGTGTGCTCATCTCCGTGTTTGAACTCCACTATTTGCAATGCCTGTCTGCGCCCGCCTTTCCAGAAAACCGTGCCTGACCTCCACATCGATTCATTCGCTCACCGCGGCTGACGGATAACTATATACCGTGCTCTCCAGAATGTGAGATCGGTGGGACAGCAACAAAGTTCGCAATTCCGTTCTTGTGTACTTGTCAAGTAGAAGAGGAAGCAAAGCGGTGAATGATGTCACTAGCACCGCCAATGCCAAGTAGAGTCCTTGATCTGTCCTAATCTTCCCTCAGGGTATATAATGGCAATATGAAGATTTGTGTCAAGGTTGAGCAATGAGGTGGGTGAGGTTTGAATTTACAGTTTAAAGAGGTAGCGAGTATCAAAATTCTACCATCGGGCAAGACCTTATTTCACAATTCATTCTAGGTGTTATCGTGCATCCACCGTCATTTAGGTTGCCCAAAAAAGGTCCACGCAGTGAGCCAGTGCTAGCCTACTTCGTGTTTTCCTAGCTTCGGTTTAGCCCGTGTCATCCGCCGTCTCTCGAGTTTTGCTCTCTCCCGCTCTGCTTCCCATTGCCTCACCTCATTAATGAGGCCTTGAGGGTTCGCAAGCTAGTTTTGATTACTATGTAGTGATGCTTACATAATGAGTACAGAGTACTGCTCCCTCGGCATTTCTATGTGTGAGGCAACAGATGACTCTTTGATTGTAGCGCGGGATCTCGCATCGTTGGAGCGTTCATGTCTCGCTATGGAACAATTCCAGGCCGCTTACGGATGGCTGACTAACTGGGACAAATCTGCGCTGTTTCTTCTCAATGTCCCCGATCCTCCTGATTCCCATTCCTTGCCATCGGTCTCGCCAACTAACCCAACCTCGCAGACAGTATGCAGACACTCAGTTCGTGTGATTCATTCACACATCGAATTTCTACGTGTACGGATTAATGATCCAAATACTCAGTTCACGAAGATACGTGATATCATTGTATCATTCGCGCTTCCACACCTCCCTTGCCAACTACCTCTAACGGTACTACGTCGCATCATTTCGCAATGCCTCATATCTCGTGTTCGCCCATTGTTGGCCTTTCAACCGATAACTAGGACTCAAGCGGTTGAACTCGATCATCTTCTTGCTCGGCACATACATGAATACTATCACTTTCCCTTTCACTTTAACTCAGCACTTTTGACCTTGCCCGTGGAATCATTTGGATTTGGTTTCCCCTCTATTTCAAGACTAAACAGTACACTCGCTCTGCAGGGAATGTTGCGCGACCTTAGTCACCACATCCTGGCATTTCGGACCATGGCCGCAATCACCCTGGCAGATTGGATGTGTGGTCTCAATCACTGCGTCTATCCCCTCGACGGGCCATCTGTGGATCGCAGTTTCTCACGCTGCCGACACAGCTTGCCTTCACTCTGGATCACTGCGCATGACACACTACGTGGTGCCGGTCTGACAGTCCCAACAACTGATCAGTCTTTCCTCTTGGGAGATGTTGCACTACGACACCTACTGCGTGCATGCCCATCTTTATCATTTCCACTTTCCTCCTATGATGTATCGGCTCTTGAGACTGAAGGTTATTGTCGCCTTGGTGACCTTGCACTAGTGGCTCAGACGGACCTTCCTCGTCTTCGTCTTCGACTCTCTGACGCGTCCCTTTGCTCGGTTGGCAGATGGCTGCAATGTCTCAATGCAGATGCATTGTCGAATATCTACCTCGGCATGCGGCCAGAGCAACCAGCACTGATGGATCGCTCCTCACTGCTCTATCCTCGGGACATTCGACGATATCACACTGAGGCCGCGCTATTAGGAGCTACGCATGTCAGCCGACAACTCCCGCGTCAGCACCTACCGGATTCCTTGATTGCTTGTGACGGCTCTATGATTCCTGCTCAAGGGACTCCGGACAGTGTGCGGTCCGTGACGTTTGCTGTCACCACGTCTGTAGGATCACTCACTGGCTCATTGGACAAGTATGCCAATGGGGCTACAATTCTACATGGCGAGCTTTATGGCATGATTGTGTCCGCCCTGCTAGCGCGTTCAGGAAATATTGACAATGGTACAATTCACTCTGATCATCTTAATGCCATCCGCGTGATTAACTCCGGTCTTCTCGCGCCCCTCCTACCTCACGCATGGTCTCCCCTTCCTGCACGATCGTTGTATCGGTGGCTACACTCCATCATATCGTCGTCTGCCAAACCTCCAGCTCTCATTCATGTCAAAGCACACACCGACTCATCGTCTTTGCCTGCACGAGCGAACGCATTAGTAGATGCTATTGCTCATGACTCTCACTCTCAGGTCATTCGACCCTATCCCGTGCCATATGCTACATTTGAATTGGACAGTTTCGTTTTATATTCCCCTTCATTGAAGTTTATTGAAAGTCCATTGCCGTCTTTGCTTACTCACATACTTTGCAATCACACTGCAGCTGATCCGACCTTCGTCCCTGGTCGTACCCTCGCACTGCCTCTTTATGACTTGCATGCGCCGCCGGATCATCCCTACGTGCGAACGCCGTACGCATATTCAGCGCTGGTACAGCTCTATGCGAGATCACGCCAACTGGACTCCGCGAGTGTACGGTTTGCCCGTATGGGAGACATATCACCGTGGTGCCAGTTTGGGTGTGAGTGTCTGGAAACGCCGCATCATCTATTTGTCAAGTGTCGTCGTTTCGCGGAATCGCGCAACAAGTCGTCGCAGGAAGTGGTAGATACAACTTCCATGCTTCTTTTTGAAGCAAAAACCACTGTTCAAACAACGGATGTTTATCTACACTCCGCACGGCGCTTGTTCGTCGACGATGCTTCGGTGTGGCCTTTGCGCGAGACTCGCTATTACTTAGGAACTGTACCTGCGATTCAAACACCTGATCAAATATCCAGTGTGTTGGCGACAAAAATTGCGCACGTATGGCACGGTGCAAGTATTCGTTTGGCAGGGCAAATTTGGGGGATGTACAAGCGTACTACGAATCCATTGGTCGGAAAGGCTGAACGTGTGTTTGATTTGCCTAGACATTTGCGGCATTTACAGTCACTTTCATAACGGCTTTGTATTTCGAAGAGCTGGCGAGGCACTTCTATATGTAGTACCTGAGTTACATCAGTAACGTAGTCAGCCAATAAAAGATCGTTTATCGTTCATCATTTCACCGAGACTCGCGCTTGAATTAGAGATATGAAGACTTCGTCCTAGCAACAGCCCATGGACTGCCTGCTTCGTAGAAATCCATAGGATATCTCCCACCTTTAGCCCTTTCACGTCCATCCTTCTCCTCATTCATCCACCCTTTTGCTTGCCCTACCGCAACTGCCGTTTCATATGGGCTGAGCAGCGGTTTGTCAAAAGCGTAGCCCCAGTCTATTGACAACCGTGGACACGCTGTTTGAACGAACGTCGATATATATGGGTTAAACAGTGCAAGCTTTGCGGGCGAGAGTTCAGAAAGCAGGATAGGGATATAAGGAATGTCTGTCTTTGAGGTAGAGAGTTGGTGGGTAATTGCCTGCATCTGCTTGAAACTGCCCTGGCGCCCCAAAGTGCCGAGAATGATACCCCATATCGGATTTTCATCAGCTTGCGCAACAATCCCCTGTAAAGAGGATATCTGGGAGATAGCTGCAATGCTTTTACGAGCCTTTTTAACTGCATCATCTCGGACCGTCCGCATTTCTTCGTGATTGTAAAGCTCTCTCGTGATTTTCTTGGAGTAGGGGTCGTATCGAAAAGCAGGTACTGAGGGATTTGCGATCATAATGGATTCTAAGTGAAATCGACCGTCTCCAAGATATCTAAAATACCATGAGACACTTGGTGAACATACAAATGCGATCCCTTACATCAGGGCATCTACGTCACCAAGTAGGGGAGCAGTACACCCTAGTATTTCACCGGGAGACAAAGGTTTAGATCTTGGTATAGTGGCATCATAAACGCCAGTCCAGAGGTGATGACCAGACGACGACTTCGAGACATCTCCCGCTGATGACTCTGTTTCTGCACCGTGCAGAAGTCCATTAGGTGTCGTTCCGGCGTCAGAATATGGCGATGTCAGATCTTCCTTCAACCTCTGTAGAGCCGCTACAAATTGGATTGTTGAAACCAACGCAAACCTTGTCGGCTCGTCGGGAGCCAGAGGTTCCCCTTCTCCTTCACTTGAAGGACCTTCGATTTGAAGATGGCGAGTCTTGCCGATCTTCTGACCAGTAGATATCCGTGCGTTATCTTCTTCATATTCAAGTAATTGCTTGTGAAATGTTTGTCGGTCGTTTGGGAAATTCAATCGTATCGTCTCTGTTAAATGAGATGAGTCGATTCCGATTTCGACAAAGATATACAGGGTCTTTATTGTCGTTTGATCAATGGGCACTATGGTAAAATGAGGAATAGAACTTGAAAAAAGCAATGCATGAACTCACCAAGACAGCTGTGACCATAATGGACTAACATGTCGCATCCCAATGCGACTGCAGTGTAATCATCCACGCAGCATGCACCATAAGTGACATCACCCATGATTACAGTTAACGCGTCGGTGAAACTATGACATCAATAATCAGCTTAGTATGCAACTCTGCAAAACAACTTCCATCACCTGCGCACCGCTCGATTATGTCCGCTATTGTGCAAGCAAACATCTGCAGGCCCTCGGGCATCTGCAGGGCGACTGTCTGTGCTCTGTTCTTGCGGACGTGGTGCACTGTTTTGTGGATTTCGAAGGAGTAATTCGCAGGAAGCTGCTTGATCGCCTGGTTCAGCAGAGCATCTGACAATATCTCATCGGGTATTTGATTGGCGATTGCTGCTGGCGGGCCAGATTTAGATGGTGCTGCAGATTTTGAGCCGATGAAACGCTTTCGTGGTTTGGCAGCGGTGTTGGGCTTCTTGGATTGTGTTTGTTCTGCCATTAGTGAGCGGATGAATGGAAGTTTGGTGGAGATTGTTAATTTGTGATCAAACTGTACTTAACTTTTATGTAAGTAAATGCTTGTTCCTGGGACCAGTGGATCGTTTCCCAATGGAAAACACACGTGGACCACGTGAGTGTGTTGCTACTTTAGAGTGACAGCGTCGTGCACTTGCGTGGAATACTCGTAGAGTACTTATCTCCAGTACTTTGGCTCAGTTACAACTGCTGACGTTACTTTCTACATTTTATTTGATCGTCACATCAGTCGCGTTACCGAGCAACTCAACTTTGGCCGTCGGATCTCTGAACTTCCACCATGTTGGGATGGGAAGGAGACAACGGAGTTGGACAATGTGCCATGAGAGGTTCTTGTGGAAAGAAGGGTTGGTTTGGGCAGCAACTTCCGTGTCCGTATGATGGCCCTCCAGTCGACGTACGTTTGATGGTGTAATATAATTGTATCTCTGCTCACCATTACTCCAGCCCGAGGACAGCAAAGCCAGAGATTTGCTTGTGTCAGTTTGTGGTGCCCAATTCGTAGAAGGGCCTACTTGCTGCACTTCTGGTCAGGTCGAGACCCTACGTGACAGTCTAGCACAAGCCGAGCTTATCATTTCATCTTGCCCTGCATGCCGAAACAATTTCCGTTCATTTTTCTGCTCATTCACTTGTTCACCACACCAGGGATCATTCTTGAACATCACGGATACGCAGAATACCAGTTCGGGAGAGACAGCTGTAAAGACAGTTGATTTTTTCGTAGGCGAACAATTTGCTTCGGGTTTCTTCGACAGCTGCAAGAACGTCCAAGTCGGTGCCACCAACGGATACGCAATGGACCTCATTGGGGGAGGTGCTAAGACGTATTCTGAATTCCTCAAGTTCCTAGGAGATGAGAAGGACCTTGGAAGTCCATTCCAGATAAATTACCCCTCCTCCACACCCCTTGATTTCACTGCGCTAGATCCCACACCACGGAATTGCGCTGACAACGGCCTGGAAAGCCGCTGCACTTGCATTGACTGCCCCACAGTCTGTCCTGCACTTCCTTACGACCCTCCGCAGATTAATAGCCCAACATGCCAAGTCGGCACGCTTTCATGCCTCTCATTCGTACTCATCCTCGCATACTCCCTCTGCGTAGTTGCCTGTGTATTTGGATATGTTCTTCAGGTCACTATAAGGAAGCGAAGAGAGAAAAGATACGAGAGAATGGCATTATCAGTGGACACCGCATCCATCCGCTCCCCTCCGTTACACACACGCGGTCTTGTTGGCGCGGTCTCACTTCCGCAAGGTGACGCAAATGACTCCCTCGGAGCTCAATCAACAGAATCCAGGCGGCTCGGTCGTGGTGCTTCCCTTCTTGATCCCATTGAGGCATCTCAGCCACGCCAATATCGCCTCAACACAATCCTTCGTCGCGTTTTCTATCGTTTAGGCCTTGTTGCAGCATCCTGGCCATTCTTGACATTTTCACTCGTGTTCACCGTGATTGGTCTGCTCAACTTAGGCTGGCAAAGATTCGACATTGAGACCGACCCAGTCCGGCTATGGGTCGCTCCCGACTCAGAAAGCATATTACAGAAAGAATACTTCGATGAACACTTTGGTCCCTTCTATCGTCCACAGCAAATATTTATCACTGCACTCTCAGGCCCTCCCATCACCGTCGACCCGCCTTCATTCACACGTACTGGTATATCTTCGCAAGATCCTGTACTCAGTTACGACCATCTACGATACTGGATGGACGTAGAGAGTGATATACGTGCTCTCCGTTCTTCCCCCAATGACTACGGCCTCACAGATGTATGTTTCAAGCCTGCCGGGCCACAAGGAGCATGTGTCGTTCAGTCTGTTGGTGCATGGTTTGGTAATGATCTCAGTAATTACGACGAAGAATCTTGGAAAGACCGATTGGTTCAATGTGCAAACTCCCCCGTGGATTGCCTTCCAGATTTTCAGCAGCCTCTTGGCCCACAGTATGTCCTAGGTGGCGTGCCTGAGGATATGCCTGAGCGCAATTCATACCTCGATGCAAAGGCTTTCGTCGTCACTTATGTGGTGGCGAATTCACTCGACGAGGCGGAAATCGCGAAGGCTGTCGAATGGGAGCAAACTCTGAGGACATATCTTGTCGATCTTAGCGAACGCATTCCCTCTGAGGCAGGGATGAATATCGCATTCTCTACTGGCGTTTCTTTAGAGGAAGAAATCAGCAGGAGTACCAACACTGACGTCAGGATTGTTGTCCTCTCGTATCTTGCAATGTTCCTCTACATATCATTGACTCTGGGCAATGGGTCAGCAGCAAGGGAGGAAGAGGGTGTAATGGCATCCCTCTCTTTGTGGGCTCGCAATTTCCCTCAGCTATTCAAACGGTCAAGCATTACTTCCTCTTCGGTCTCTGTCGACTCCCGTAATACGCCGCACATTTTACCGAGACTGCCTCGCCATCTCTTCGTCGGCTCGAAATTCACGTTAGGCTTGTTTGGAATCGGACTTGTCATTCTGTCCGTCTCATCCTCAGTTGGTTTCTTCTCCCTTGTCGGCGTCAAGACGACCCTCATTATTGCTGAAGTTATTCCTTTCCTTGTACTCGCCGTCGGTGTCGACAATGTCTTTATTCTCGTTCACGAGCTTGATAGGCAAAATTTCCTCCATGGGCCTAATGCTTCAGCAATTGCTCCGGGAGGAGGATACCCAGCGCCCCGCTCTCCTAATCCTCACCGCTCACCTTTTGAATCGGCACATGATGAATCTGTCGATACTGCCTCGGTACCCTTGTATCTATCTGCAGAGGAAAGGGTTGCGCGGACGTTGGCAAAGATGGGTCCCTCAATCCTGTTGAGCTCTGTGACAGAAACAGTTGCTTTTGGCCTTGGTGCGTTGGTGCCCATGCCAGCTGTACGCAACTTTGCCTTGTATGCCGCTGGTAGCGTCTTCTTGAATGCGCTGCTCCAAGTTTCTGTCTTTGTCAGTGCGCTTACCATTGATCTGAAGCGTGTAGAGGTGAGTAATCGTCTGTCGGTCCACAGATAACTTTCTAGACTAATTACTTCTGCAGGCAAGCCGAGTTGACTGTTTCCCCTGCATTAGATGGCCTTCCCGCATCGCCCTACTTGATGCTCCCATGAATGCAAGTGGACTAGGCAAGGTTGCTCGCTTCATCCGACGCCACTATGCTCCTTTCCTCCTTCGACCAGTTGTCAAGGGTGCTGTACTCCTTACTTTTGCGGGTTTCTTCGTGCTCTCTGCAATATCGATGCAGCACATTCAGCTGGGACTTGGTTCGTAATTTAATATCAAGTCAAGCTTTACTGTACTAACCACTTGACAGACCAAAGGTTGGCTCTCCCCTCGGATTCATACCTTAACGACTACTTTGATCATCTTGATGTGTACTTGGATGTCGGACCTCCAGTTTACTTCGTATCTCATGACCTTGACGTGACCCAGCGCTTTGGCCAGCAAGAGCTCTGTGGTCGTTTCACGACCTGTGATGAGTTGTCAGTCGCTAACGTTCTCGAGGCTGAACGGAAGAGACCCGAGTCGTCATTTATCTCGCAGCCGACTGCGTCATGGATAGATGACTTTCTCAAGTGGCTTGATCCTGCCATGGAGACATGCTGTCGTGTACGCAAGAGAAATCCTTCCATTTTCTGTACTCCGAGAGATTCAGATCGATTATGCCAACCCTGCTTATACGGCAAGGAACCTGCCTGGAACATCACTATGGTCGGATTGCCCGAAGGAGAAGAGTTCATGCGGTATCTAAAGCAGTGGCTCATCTCACCTACAGACGAGACGTGTCCCTTGGCTGGCAAGGCATCATTCGGTACTGCACTCTCGCTTGACGACGAAACTGGTGTCGTCGCATCTCACTTCCGCACATCACACTCGCCTCTTCGTTCACAAGATGATTTCATCAATTCCATGGCGGTCGCACGCCACATAGCAACCAAGATATCAGAGCTCACCGGATCACAGGTTTTCCCTTATTCCCTGCATTACGTTTTCTTCGACCAATATGCACACATAATCGCCATCACGCAGGAGATACTCGGACTTGGGCTGGCTGCTGTGCTAGTGGTCACAGCGCTACTGCTAGGCTCGTGGCGCACAGGGACAATTGTGACGGGTGTGGTCGCGTTGACAGTAACAACTGTCATGGGCGTGATGGCAGTATGGGGCATCAGCCTGAATGCTATTAGTCTAGTGAACCTGGTCATTTCAATCGGCATTGCAGTGGAGTTTTGTGCTCACGTTGCAAGGGCCTTCATGAGTGCTGGTTCTGGTTTACCAGCTGATCACCCTGCAGGACAGAAAGAGCGAGATGAAAGAATGTGGACCGCCCTTGTTGACGTCGGACCCTCAGTGAGTGGTTCTCCTAATTGGTGCCTCGCCATGACTAACATCTTTCAGGTTCTGTCCGGTATCACGTTCACCAAGCTGATCGGCATGTCTGTCCTTGCGCTCACCCGATCCAAGCTGTTGGAAGTAAGTCTTCAAATTACTAGTGGAATTTTGCACAGGTTTTATGCGCCCCCCACAGATATACTACTTCCGCATGTGGCTTACTCTCATCATCTCTGGGGCTTTACATGGTTTGGTACTTCTACCCGTTGTACTTAGCCTTGCTGGAGGACCAGGATTTGCTCAGCAAGAAGCTGATGAAGAGTGGATGTCAAATGCCATCAGGAATGATTATGAGTATGCGTAAGTGACACCCTTCAGTTTCGAAACTACTGTTAACATTATGTATGGTAGACCTTTCCTTGCCGATGACGATTCCATGGCCAGCGATTAATATTAGAGCACGGATCAAGACTTCATTGTGATACTGTAAAACAGGGACGGTAACCTTCATAATTACAGCAGCAAAGATACCAGAGTATATAGAATTGCTTTTATACTGGAGATCTGGACCTGCTATCTCTGATGTCATCTCGACTGTAACTCCTCCTTCCACGGCTGAGAGACTTTGAACGAGTTCTGCTACGGCTGTACCGCGAATAAGAAGAGTAGGATGCGGAACGAGAGCGAGACCTAGAAGGAGTGCGTGAACGAGAGCGACTGGAGCGCACCGAGTAGCTCCTGGAGCGGGTTCGGCCCCTACGCCCATACCCAGTCCCAATTCCTCCACGCTCGTAACTTGGAGACCTCCTTCTGAGTGGCAAGCGGTCCCCACGCCTGATAGGCGAGCGGGAACGTGATCGAGAAGGACGGTACGTGTCCCTGGCGGGGGGTCCACGACGTCCGAAGCCTCTGCCTCCTCGGAAAGATTCGTTGAAACGAGATGGTTCATAACCTCTCCTACGGAACACCGGTGAGCGGGAGCGGGAACGCGAGCGAGACAGTGAGCGCCTTTCACGGCCGTTACGTGGCGGACGAGGGCGAGAACGAGAACGAGTGCGGATTGGGAGATCAGATAATTCGACTTTCACAATCAAACCATCTAGTTGACCACCATTCATGTGTGACACAGCTTTCTGGGCGGATACTGCATCTGTGAATTCAAGAGCAGCCTTTCCTCGATTCTGGCCGGCTAGAATGTGGGAATAAATCAGATGTGCAAGAATGATAGTTTATCTAGAATCTTACATTTCAGGAAGAGTGGAAGGTCAATCTTCACGATTTCTCCATAGAACGCGAAAATAGTCTGTAGATGCGCTTGCACGACGTTGCGAGACAGACCGTTTATGACAACCACTTTGCACTTCTTGTCATCGTTTCCCCCATTCTCCATGTCTACATCGGCATCCTGCAAGGGCTTTGGGGAGATGGACCGTCCTCTGGTCGACATGGTTGAGCTTGTTGGCCTATTTTTTGAACTTTGCAAGGGAATGCGAAGTGACACATCACACGCGTCACATTGTCACAACACAACCCGAGGGAAGACAGTTATTCCCTCTATACTACTATACCGTTGAAAATTTGTGTCATGCGCATTCAGCACTCCAAACATAGGTATTTCTGAGGCACATTGCAAGTTGTAAAACCTTCGCCATCGTAACATCAATGTTTTCAATCATGTCTTTCACAATTTCATCAGCCAAACAACATCTTGATTAATTTGACTGTCACCAATATTAGAAAATGACCATTGTCGCCCAAAAAAAGCTCTGCTGATTACTCAATCACTCAATCCTTGCTTTCTTACGGCGTGAGCTCTTCTCTAATCCATGGGTCCGCTTGGTATGTCTCTTCAGCAGATCTTGACGAACGAAGGTCTGCCCACAAATTTCGCAATGATAGGGTCTCACGCCAGTATGGCTCGCTTCATGACGTTTGCATTCGTTCTTGCGGAGGAACCGCTGTGGGCTATCGACAATCGTCAATGAGTGTTAGCCAGCGATCGCCAGAGATGTAGCAAAAATAATGCGAACCACATGGAACAGCTGAATGGCCGTTGATCAACGTGAGCCCCGACATGTACGATGATGTGATCTCGGCGCTTGTTCCTCTGGTCACACCCAACGACGTAACATCGGAACTCTTCTATAAGCTCTCCGCGGTCGCTCAACTTGCCTGCGAAATGCATCAACCATCCTCGATCGATCTCTTGTACAGAATGGCGTGCCCTATAGCGCTCGGCTCTGAAGGCGAGCTCAGACAACTCAATTCCCATGTGCGCGTTGAGAATTGGCGATGGATGTAGATCGTTGTAGATGCTGCGATCTGGCTCGACCGTGGTCTGCCTCGGCGGAAACATATTGTTGGAGGAAGGGAACGAAAAATTGTCGTAGCTAGAAAAAATGTAACGCTCCTCTTGATTTGGGGAGAACACACGCAGTATAGATGCATCAGGGAATGTCTCCAACTTGATTATCGGGGACGCCCTAGCCCTCTTCTGCGGAGCGCATTGTTCGAAGGACGGCTGTTCGTTATATATGACTGGCATGGGCTCCGGCTGGACAGTTTCCTGTGTTGCAGAAGTGGACAAGATGGCAACAATATCGTGAATTAGACGTGGCGATGGGCAATCCTGAGATGGTGGACTGGGGGTCAATTCCTGCATCGGGCCAAGAGTGGAGGGAACTGAATCGTGAATATGGGGCGGAGAGCATCGGAAGGTAACATTGCGAGGGGTGAGGTGGGGCGACAGGTATGCTGGAGGGGACGCAGGTAACCATCCCATGATGGCTGAGGGATCGACACCTACACTGGGTGACTTCGTAAACAGTGCAAGGTTGTACATGTTGACGTCAGGAATGAGACCAATGTTGGAAGGTGAACAAGAGAGAACATCATCCGCGAGGTGACGAGCCAAGGAGAACTCTCTTGAAGTCTGACCTTCCTCATTTTCAGTGATTGACGGAGCGGAAGATAGGGAAGCCGATGACGATGAAGAGGAGTGCCCAAGGTTAGGCAACGAGGTGTCGCTTGAAAAAGTGAAGCAACTTTGAGACTCGTTTAAGTGACTGAGGATTCCGGCAGTATGATCTGTTAGTTGGAATGCCGCGCACGGGGGGGTTGAATGATTTGGGGTGCTACTGATATCGTCCGCCTCCATATACGAAGCACTTTGTCCCTCGCCGTACAAATAGTGTCCCTCGGCGATTTGCATGAAATTACTGGAATCAATTTGGTAGTGAATTCCAAGCCCAGCGAGGAGGCGACGAGAAGGTGACTTTAGGAGCCCGTTGTACTGAGAATCTGAAGACAACCTTGAAAGTTCGCTATGGTCCTCGTAACGCGTGTTTGAAGAAGAAAAGAGTGTGGGGGTAGTCATTCGATTTAATCGCAACGCCAGCGTCGTGGTATTATCAGAAGTCATATGAATAGTTGTTCTTGGGGCATAGCTGCATGTCGCGTCGCGAAGGTGTCTCATTAAATGTGATTAAAGTAGAATAGACTGTGAAAGAGCGAAGGTCGTAATTTTCTTGAACTGGCGGGAGATTCAACTAAAGGAGAAAGTTGCAAATGGAAATATGTCGATCCATGTTTGCACCTGTTTGGCAAGAGCATTTACGTGTAGGTACTTACTGAGCACTCAACACCAGATGCTCAGGCTGAAGCCAGGTTTTCAAGTATTAGCGAGACATGCTGGCTTTCGTGCTAGAGGTCTTACAACAGTCAATGCACCGAGGTCTTTACGAAGGGCAACTGCAACACTACTCATAGGAGGCGCATCTACTGCTATCGCCGCTTATTTTTTCTTACCTGACATCTCCCGAGGCGCGCCAACTTGTGACAACATACCCCTCAGTCCGTCTCACTTCACACCAGCAAAACTCGTTTCGTCCACTATTACATCAAGTGGAACAAAAATTTTGACTCTCGCGATACCTCCCGAACTTTTACCCGAGGAAAGCGATCTCTTCGCACCTATTTGGTCCGTCTTCATCAAAGACGATGACATACAAGTGGAGCGACCTTACACTCCACTTGATGGGGTAGACGAAAACGGAAATATGAAGTTCTGGATCAAAAGATATCAACATGGCGAAGTCAGCCGATGGTTGCACTCAAAACAAGTTGGGGATATCATTGAAATTCGAGGCCCTCTCAAAACCTGGTCTTGGAAGGATGATGCTTGGGACGAGATCATTTTGGTGAGGAAATAGTAATAGTCAATTTTATAAAACACTCATATCTAATTTTTTGCATTCAAGATATCTGGCGGTACTGGGATTACTCCGTTCTACCAGCTGCTGCGTGCCGTATTCTCTGGCAACCCATCCTTTCAAGGTCGAATCACACTCTTACATTCATCAAGAACACTTTCTGAGCTGCCCCCGCACGATATCCTTGATCCCCTGTTAAAATTTGCGCAGCATAATCCGGAGAAGTTCAGGCTGAAGTTCTTCGTTGACTCGTTTGGCGAAACCAAAGGTCAAAGTTCTATAGATCTAAAGGTACACAAGGGTCCCATTGGTAAAGAATCAATACGTGGCGCTCTCCATTCTGTCTCTTGTTTTCCTTGGTGGCGTGGTTTGTTCTCGCAAGATAGTGATGTCAGTGATCGAAAGATACTGTTTTTGGTTTGTGGTCCTGAGAAGTTAGTCTCCACTTATGTTCTCTGTTCTGATGTTGCTCATTGATATGTCGCAGAATGGTTGAGGCTATCGCAGGTCCTTATGGCCGGAACTACTCACAAGGGCCAGTAGGCGGAGTGTTGCAATCATTGGGATACAAGTCGCGCCAGGTCTGGAAATTATAGATATCCGACACTTGCACAGCCGTATGCTTCTCAAAGTTCAAACTTCCTTTACCCGGTACACAGGCGTCTTGTCCCCCCCGCGGGCTTTTGATCTAAGATGGGCTGCTATTTTGTGTCACTTTTAGCTTGCTAGTTATATATCTGTTTAAGAGGACTCATCATGGCCCAGACGCTGATTCCGTATTTTAGGTAACTTCCGTGTAATTTTGCGAGTTGTTCGCTACTGACGTGAATACATTGTTGTGTCTCCACGGCGATAACACTTCCCGGGTATATGACGAATATTGGCACGCTCCAAGCATCGCTTTGAGCTGCAGGCAGCGCTACCGATCCCCTATTCGAACGTTCATATACCGTTTCAACTGACTCGTACATTCAAACACTGCGCCTTTGAGACCCGCAGAACACAAGTCTAATCCGACAATGGCCCCCCGAGAGTTTTCAGGAACTTCCCACTCAATATTGGCCATTGAACTGGTCCTCGCCAGTGTTGAATGAAGGTGGAACCATCAAACTACTGTGCAGCTTTTGCACCCTGTACGTGGAGTCACTGGGTGTGATGAAGGTCATGCTGTGAGTTTTTTGTCTTGTCCCTCTCGATATTTATAGACCAGACCAACTTAGGACAGAAGATCACTGAAAAAACAATCGCCGTTACTGCGAAGAACCAAGAACTTTGGTTTCCCGGATGGTCATACAGTTGTGTCCCAATTCGTCTTTCCTGTGACCTCTTGTTTCTGTATATGCGCGCCGGAGCAACACAGATGATCAATCAGGATGTGTCTGGCTGTGAAAATCGATGCAACGCCGATGGCATCAAATGCTGTGTTTTGCATCAGAATCCCACCTTTTTTGCATACTGATGATGTTATAGCCGGAGGTGCACACGAGGCGACAGATGCTGAAGATCTTGGAAGACCGGGGCATTGAATTGCATCGTCGAGGGTGCTTCAGCCTGGGGGAGAGGTAAGGCATCTGTTCGCCACATGTGGACCTACTCTATCTTTCATTTCTGACCTTTCTTGTGCCTCACCGACAGGTCGTGACCGTGACAACAGACCTCGAATGAGCTGTCACCCTCCTTCGAGACTGATACCAATCCTGATTGAGCGGCAGTCACATCTCATCTAGACACGTGGAAGATCAATGAAGTGCATGGTCTCACTGATGGAATTGCTGGAAGTACTGATGCGAGTGCCAAGAACATCTTGAAAATAATATTGGCAATTTGGGAATCAAATACTAGGCTACAGCACAACCCGATTTTCAAACTTTTCCGGTGTTCAACAACTTGTGCGTGTGTCACTGCTTTGCAGATCCACAACCAGGCTGTGCTTTCGATTCAATTGAGGGCTTCCGTGTTCTCCGAGATTTTGTTTGATGATACTTACTTTGCTCAAACAAGGCAAGAACGAGGGACAGCCTCATGATGCTTATTTTGCCGATATAGGCGCTGGATGGTGGTATATTTAGTACGAACACCATCGGTTTACGTCCACCCACTTTGCCACTCGCTCACACTCACCCCTCGAACATGAATCTAGTCTCAAACGATCCTAGTTGGCTGGTCGTCACTTTGAATCGATTTCACAGCTATATTGCAGGTTTGTGGAGAGCCAGTCAAACCCACGTGTCTCGATCTGATCTTGAATGTGGTTTCGCAGTTGCATCCTTTACTGCAGTGGTATATGATTGGGGTGAGCGAACAATATTGAAAAACTATTGATATCCTAATGGTATCTCCAGCCTTAACCTTCGGACGAGAGGTAGGCCGAGACCGTATGTATTAAAGTGGATATATCACTAATAATGGTGTTATAGGTTGAACTAGTTTGGGTGAGCAGAGTCTCGTATCAGAACAACAGGTTGATGTAATTCATTCGGGTCAGAGGCAACACTGGTCCCTTACAACCATTTTGTACCTCACTGTACGTAGCTCATGTATACACGCAGTTGGCAAGTTGTGCTGACAATATTCGAATTTCTAGGTGCGCTATGCTGGGATACCATATGTTGTGTATGTTCCCCAGACTGAAGAGTTCAAGTTAACACTACTAATAAGTCATCTCCCACAATCAGCATGTTCATGCTAGGTATGTCTCTTCACATATGCTGCAATTATTTGTTCTGATTAATGGCATGCAGGAAGTCTTCCGTCAGTCCCGCTGACAGGTATAGTGAGTATGCTGCATCCATGCCTGTCATTTCCGTCCAAACAATTGCGCTCCTACCTAGGGGTGAGTTCTCCAACGACTTGTTCGTTCAATATAATGATTGCAACAGCTGTGAGTGATTGGGTGCTCATGATCCTCCGATGCTCATCTCAAACTGGGTTTTTGTCAGGCAATACTATGTTTATCGCACTAAACTGTATGCATGTGGTGGTTGCTGCCATGCTGGGCGGTGAGTTACTCGGCTGCAATACCTTCGTAATATCTTGACTGAAATGTCATACAAGTTATCATGATCACTCGGTTACATGCCATGTATCAGGGGTCGAGAAAGATGCTTATATTTCTCATTGTGATCCTACTTGTTCTCACAATCGCCGGCGGAGTGACTACTGCAATAGGAATTAAGCGTAATTCAGAGGGTAAGCTTGAATTATGGACAAACGACTCAAGTGCATCGGGCTCATCCGAGGAATGGCAGACGCCGTTTCTGGCATCTATCAGTGCACTTATAAGTACGATAGAGATGGCCGCCTTCTGATGTCCATCACTTGGATACTCCGCATTGTATGGGAAGTCCTCGTGATGTGTCTTGTAGTCTGGATTGTCATAAAACATTTCCGGCAATTGCGACCATCATCGCAAGCCGCGATCATCGGAGATTGTTTCGTGGTTTTGATGAAGACTCACGCGGTGTACTTCGCAAGGTTAGTTACCATTTTGACCGTGTTTATCTTCCTCTGCTGAAGTCCCGCACGTTCCAGCTTTGTTGCTGGTTCTTGGTTGGCCCTTGGTTATTTTTTCTCGACTGTCTCGGTATGCCGATCTTGCTAAAATTTGCATGTTAGTATTTATCATTTCTATAGGACTCGACTTCCATGGGTCATAATGGTGCTCTGAACATCTTCTCGGTCATGCAGATGTTTGTGCTGGGACCGCGCCTCATCCTTAATATTCGAGGATATCATGCTAAGCTCTTAGCTGAGTACGAGACAAGAACCAGGATTCCTCCTCCAAATATTTCCCACGAGCCGTCAACTAGCGGCCATGTCACGGTGTAGTACTGCTAGTGAAACGCTTCAAGTGACAAACCGGGAGTAGAAGAACTTCGATGCGGCACTAGGTCTGTGACCGACTTGAGCTATTAGCTGCTTGTACTCGACTTAGTAGCTATGTACTACTTATACCCAACACCCTGTGTTACCCATGGACAGTGTTATCATGATGTACGGCTTGTGTACATACGGCCATTATTGGGCCATTCATATATTTCTATCATAGATCACGTTATCTCGCTCCACTCTTGACTTCTAATGTCTATGTTCGCAAACACACAGACGCATGCGCATGCCTACGAAGTCGCTCTTTTCGGTGAATTTTTTGCTCGGGATCTCAAGGCGATTCTCAATCGCCTGACACTGCACACGGAGTCCGCAGCACCCATGCACACCCGTGAAATTTTATTCGAACAGTTCGGAGTTCAGTCACAAGTACAAGGAGATGAACCAGCGTTGCTAAGAGCAAAAAAAGAACTAGGAGATGGCACGGAAAGTGGATGGTTGGTTGGACAGCCTACTTGAACGAAGCCGTTGGATCAACCATAACACAGGACGCTTTTCTCATACCTCAAGCCGGAATCCGTACGCGTTCATCCTGAGGCCACTGTCAGACCATGGGCTACTTGCGAAGTGATTGGTGATGCCCTCAGTTTCGCTTCGGCACTGGGATATGTGTCCGTATGCTCCAGAATTCACTGTCTGTGCTTGCGCTTATAGTGTTGTTAGACAACGATCACAAATCTACAAACGTGGATATGCATTTCGAAGAGGTGCTCTGATAATACAGATGTTTCAGCAAGAGCAGGTACGTACCCGTGTTGATATTGTCGCTCTCTTATCGCGCGCTGACTTTACTCTTGACTAGGTTGACCCAAAGACCTCCCTCCCTATACCGGCACACACCGACACACTCTGGGAGGTCGAGGTCAAGACTGCCACTCAAGTTAATACATCCGCACAAGCATCTAGCGGGCACGTGCAAGTGAGCACAGTCCGTACAGCTATTGATGCTGTTCTCGAAGTTCAGCTCATCATGAAAGGACTACTGGACCTCCGGCGACAGGATCTGTAGCTTAAATCACTCAAGCGGACGGTTGTTCATAATTTACACTGGATTTGAGATGGTCACCTGCTGCTCTGTGCCACGTCCTTGTCCTCAAACTACATCACTGTACACTCCACTTGTTATTGAGTACTGAAGTAAATGTCACAGGCACCATGATGTTAACTGGACCTTGTAATTTATTGGGTAGCTTGAATCAAATAACTGCCAGACCGTTTGAACCAACATGATATAAAGCGATACAAAAAACGTTGTAGGAGTATGTAAGTGTTGATGTAGTAAATCATTGACATATAGCCTATATGCAGAATTTGATTTGATTAGGACGTTCGAAAAAGTATCAACACACTCTACGACCATGCTGCCTCATTCGACTTCTACATCTCTAGCGCAGACTATTACGTCTATGGAATCAACCGCCAGTGGGTCATCAACTCGTCTTTGTGCACTTTGTTCGACCGCTGCACGTTATACTTGTCCGAGGTGCTCTACTCCAACATGTTCCCTACCCTGCTCTCGTACCCACAAATCCAGAACCGGATGTAGCGGTGAACGCAATAAGGCGGCCTATGTACAGATGAACGCTTACGGGTGGGGTACGATGATGCGCGACTATTGTTTTCTTGAAGAAGTAGGCAGAAAAGTGAGTGAATGGGGCGGAGAAATTGCTCGTGAAGGTTACCCAACGAATGTGAAAGCAAAAGACATGAGGGGAAGAGGGGGAGCACGTGGAGCCAGCGGAAGAGGTAGAGGCGGAAGGGGGACTTCAAGGGGTGGTGGATCATCCAAAAGAGATCTGCTAAAGGCTCACCTAGACAGCTTGGACATCGAGATGGATGTCCTTTCCGTCGGAATGCAACGCAGAAAGGTAAACCAATCGACTCTTGATACAAAGTGCGCTCTCATATTCTGACCTTACGCATATGCTGACTCTCGTCAGGACGCAGACTGCACTATTGACGATAGAGTTCAGGTTTTACCCTGGAGCGCCGGCACAATCTTCATCCGCAACATCAGTTCCATATACAACACTCGTGCATCGCAATCCCATTAATTCGTCTTTAATATCACTTCTTCAGAGACGCGTTCCTCAGCATACGTGTGCTAACAAGGACCATCCCAAATCGAAGAAAGAACATCCTTGTCCAGACTGGGTTACTTCTCTTGTCCACCCTCATCCAGACGATCCCGAAGGCTTCAGAGTTCCTCTCTGTTACTTACCTGCACAAATAGACTTAGCCAGAATCCCACATTATCCAGGCGTCGGAGTGCGGACTGGCCCATCTTACTATAAACTTTGTCCCTCTCAAACTCTTCAGGATTTGCTTCAGGGCACGCACTTCGCTGAATTCCCCACCATCCATGTACATGATCCGGACTCGTCTACATTCATCGGAAATATCGTGGCCAAAAAAGGTCAATCCTCGTCGATGTCCGAACACGAGCACGAGCATGACGTCCGAGCTATAAAAAGGCGAAAGCTAAGTGCGAAAGCGGGGAAAAAGGCGATCTCAGGACTCGTCGGTGACTACGGAAGTGAAAGTGAGTCTGCATCGGAAAAAGCGGCAGAAAGGCAGACACGAGACGAGTTGGGGGCTTTAGGGAACTATGCGGAAAGCGAAAATAGCGACCAAGACCTTGCTGTAGAGGCACGCACCACCGAAGATGACATGTCCAGCATAGGTTCTTCGTCAGCGGATGAAGGAGAAAGTCCTGCGCTTGATTATGCTGCCGTTCTCGAGTTGATCAAACAAACACAAGGCGCAGCTGACTATGATTCGGAAGTGGTTGATTGGGGTGACGATTGGGATGAAGACGTAGCAGAGTAACCCTTTTTGTCGCCTACCCTGTTGTGTATGCAGACCTTCTCCCCCCTTCCCTCGTGCACTGCATAGATTCTAGGGATTGGCACTCAAAATCGAATCTCCGAATGTCCACATCCGTAAGCAGCTACGACTAACAAGCATTGTCCACTAAGGCGATTGTGGTCGTTGATACAGTGGAACAACCACAGCATGGACTCATAAATAGTGAGTCAGAAATGCTCTCTTCTTCATCCCGCTTTCCAATCCCAATCGTCTCCCCTCTTCTAACATATTGCTTACAATCTCTGAATCTTAAGTTTCATCACAATGTCATCCAAAGATGCCATTGAAGCCAAGCTCGTTGGTACATTCCCAGGACGCTTCATTGGCGCAATGCCAGTGCGCCAGTTTCTTAACTTCCTGCCTGAGGCAGACGGTCGTCCAGTAATGCCCAACGTGGTGTCACCGGAAGAGCTTGTAAGAATTTTACATGAACATTTCTCTGACCCATCTGATCTTGGTGCCCCTGACAGTTGACGGTTCTGCATAAATTTACCACCAATTTTGATCTTGTCGACACTTCTGGTTGTCCTGATCCCTCTGTCGTCGTAGGCGGGTATGAATTCCAACCGACCATGGGGTTATACAAAAGCGAAAGCACTCGAAACGGAGTGACAGACATGTCCGCGATGGAGGCATGGATGATCATCAAGCCTTCCATACAACAAGACCCCTTCATCGACCCGCCGCCGAATGAGGACTTCACTGCACCGATACCTTGCCCTGAGGAGGACCTGCTGCCATATTGGGACACTAAAAGAGACACCTATCCTAGATTCGAGTCCACTGACAAGCGGTCCATCTCAACGCGCGCACATATGGTGGCATGCACTAATGCCTTCTTCGCAACGCAGTTCCGTCGCTTTGGGTTTTCCATCCTCCTCTGTGGCTCCTGGGCACGTTTTGTGTACTGGGACCGCTCTGGTGCTGTCGTGTCTCGGCAGTTTAGATACACAAGCAATTTCAACCTGTTGGCTGAGTTTCTATGGAGGCTCAATCGTGCGTCGCCTGGGAATCGCGGCGTCGACGTATCTGTGGTTCCCGTTTCCCTTCCAGAGTCTCAAAACAGCATTGTCCGGGAGCTGCTGGGCGTTGGGAGTTCCGACCCTCTGTATGGATACATCGTTCCCGTCGATACCACACTTCCAAATTCCAAAGACGCGAAAGACCAGCCTTCATCCGCCCATCACCTTTACGTCGGCCCACGCCCCGCCTCAAAGCAGTGCAGCCTACTCGAGCAACGAACTCGTGGCTTCCATGTTTGGGACCTTGCGCAGAAGAGAATTGTTTTCTTCAAGGAAACTTGGAGATTTTATTCCAAAGGTACCCGTACGGAATCAGAAGTATATCGGGAACTACACTCTCGTCGCATTCCCAACATCCCGACCTTCGAGCACGGCGGTGACATGTCTGCCCTCCGAACAAAAACGATCACCCACTTATTCAGCAAGGCCTGGTGGTGCTGTACCCCCAACCACAAGGCCCACCTCCCGCTCGTACAACATCGAATCATCCTCAGTGGTGTTGAACGGAACCTGAGCACGTTCAAGACGCCCATAGAATTTCTGACCGTATTCAAGGATGCCCTCACAGGCGAGTTTCATCTTCAATTCTCGAGTATTTTTTTGTTTCTAAACGAGTTACTGTAGCTCACAACGAAGCTTACGAACGTGGTGGTCTTCTGCATCGGAACATCAGTATGGAGAACATCGGCATCACCAGTGAGGGGCACGGGCTGCTCATGGGCTGGGAATGCTGCACTTCCAAATCACACGAAGAGCTATTGGCAATCCAGATGGTACGTGCAGAATTTATATATATACGCCGGGATACCGACGCCACTTCAAATGACAGGGAACTCTACCCTTCATGTCAGGTGCTTTGTTGGATCAAAGATCCGAGAACAAGCACCATGTGCTGGCAGATGATTTAGAATCCTTCCTGCACGTCATGGTGTACACTATGGTCCGGTACCTCCCCAGCACGATGAACACCGAGCACAGGAACACCTTGCTCCAAATATTTGACGAGGAGTATATCATCGATAAGGAGGGACGGGCCATAGGCGGCTCGCGCAAGAGGATATGGCTTGATGACCCTGAACGTCACGTCCTCAGAAAATTCCCGGCACCCCCCGAGATTGCCAGGCTACTGCGACAGCTATGTGAATTGTTCCCCATTCGATACAACTTCACTATGCAGGTGATCGAGCGCCACACCTACGACACGCGCTTTAAGACCCCAAGCGATCTTCTGGCCAGTCACCAGGAGATGATGAGGTATGTGGGCTTCTCAGTCCTCTCGGACGACGGGTGCTCCGACATGGATATTTGTGATTTCTAGGCCACCACCGTGAATAGATATGGCTTCTAATGTCTTGTAAGCAATATAGTACAGTATAAATATTATCATACGATGTTTACATACTTGATGGTGTGGCGAATGATCAAATTGTAACAATAATACTCAGATGTCATCCATCCCGAAGTCAATCTCCACTTTCTCACCCGGGTTGAATGCAGGCAGACCTTTTTAACAGATTTTCTGAGTTTTGAGCTGACATGAAGAGCATTGTCATAAACGCACCAAGATACGGACAGCTCGCACATCGGAATGCATCACCTAAGAAACAGCTCCCACAACTGCTAGTTGCCTTGGGAGCAGCTTTAGCAGCAGCAATCAAACTCTTCGCCATGTCACCAGCTTCCACCTCCACAGCGTTGTCGCTGTCGAGCAGGACTACTTTACCTGACTTGGCCTCTTCGGCTTCCAGCTCAGCAAGACCACATGAGCAATTCTTGCATGCCTTCTTCCGCCTCGGGGCACCTACTATGACAGGATCGCACGTGGGGACTGGGCGTTCGCGATCTGCCGCTGTCAAGAGGGCTTCGGCATCGATTGTGGGAGTTGATGGCGATGAGAGTGCCCAGAGAGCCTTTTTGGAGGACTGCTTGGCAGGGTCGGTCTTTCTCCGGATAGGAAGTGCAGAAGGTAGAGGTGTTGCGATTGGTAAAGGCTTCTGAGCAACTATTCTGGCATCAGGACCATCTCTTACACTCTCGATGATCATGAATCCAGCTAGAGTCAACTCATGAGGAAGACTCAGGAAGCCCGCGGTTAAATTAAGAAGGTGAAGAGTTCCCAGGGGTGTCAGACCGGTGAGGGTCTGTTGAAGGAGAGACGGCAAACTTGGCGATAATGAAGTGTATTCTGATGGGGAGAGTAGGATATGAATGGAAGCATAGTTTGATGGAGCCAAAGATATCGCTATGTCAATCACGATGATTAGTGAGCGATGCTCCGAATTGTAGATACATACCTCCATCAATGAGCCGATCAAGCATCTGCCTTTCGGCAGTCCGCCCTTCCTGTGCATCGAGGCGCAAAAGAAGTGATTGATACTTTCCATCTTGAGCAGTGTCCAATGAACCTATCGCAAGGGCAGGCCCTTTGACGATTTCGTGGGGTGACGATCCATTCATTAATGATTTCTTGACTTCTGATGTGATTTGGGAGGGAGAAGGAGTGTATATAGCGGTAGGTGCCATCAGAAATGCCTAACGCTGTGAACTTAAGAGAGAATGACGGGAGGGAGGAGGACAGTGTCAGCTGAAAAATGTCCGGAGTGCATTAATTAATCAGATAAATATTGGTTCACTTAGATAAGCAGCGGTCACAAGAACGATTTCAATCGGCCGAAATCCTCACATGCAGTGCATTATCACAAAGATCCAATCGTGTATCGATAACAAAAAGTCCATTAGGGATACAGAAATGACATACAGACAACATGCTGTAATAGAATGGATCAAAATGCTTTCCAATTACTGATGACACAAGACATTCTCAACCAGTTAATAATATTAGGAATGATAGTTGGGATAGAACTAGAACATTCACGTCAAGAACTCAAGTAGGATTCACTGCTGCAGCTCCGGATTGGGCGGAGGTGGAGGAGGCATCCCAGGTGGAGGGTGCATACCATCATGATATGCAGGTGGTGGGGCCATGACAGCCCCACGCATGCGCAATAGCATCACGCGGTACCAATCTTCGCCCATGTCCTTCTCCGACGAAATTTGCTGCAAGTGCGCAAGCTCCTTCATCAAGGATAAACGCCACAAGATGTTCCCATTCTCGTCCACCTGCAAATCATCTATGGGCACAGGAGGGAAACGAAGGCCGGGAGGTGGAGGAGGCATCATCTGGAAGTTGGGATCAAATCTAAAGAAAGCCTCAGTTCAGTATCGATATTTGAGACCAAACTGCATACGTGGGGGGATATGGTGGATACGGCGCTTGTCGACTGGGACCTGCTTCATCAGGATGCATAGGCGGCGGTTGCACAAATTGTGCATTAGGGTCGTTGAATGCTTCAGGATGATAATCCACATCCTGATCTTCCTCCGACTGTCGACCCTTTATGCCCTTCGGCTTCTTCTTCCTCACTCGATGGACACCCGTTCTCGGGTCAACGTTATCATTGACAGTCCAGTACGAGCCTTTCCCTCGGTCGGTAAGGGGACGCGGTACTTTCTCGAAGCATGGGTTAAGTGAAAGATTGTGTCGCACTGAGTTCTAGATACGAAAGCAAGGTTAGATTAGTTTGGTGCCTGGCTCGAAATCAAAACAAATATGAACACAATTAAACATCAACATCGCGCTCGCGTGTTTGGCGTGCATCTAATCGACGATACAAATGATACAGAAGCCATTGGCCAACGGCATCGGAAGAACTTTACTCACCTTCCAACCAGAAGGGGCATTCCTAAAGTAAGGAAACTGTGACGTGGAATTAGGGATTCACAAGATGCGCAAATACGAATAAGTTACCACGTACACGGGATTCAATGGCGTAGTAGATGTCTTCGAGGAGTAGTTTTTGATTCGGAGAACCCTTTATAGCATACCTACCCACCCACAGACAAATCGAAATCGTTCACTAGAGCATATCTACAGTGAATTCGGAGTCGCTTACCGTATAAGCGTAGAATATGGGTAAAATGGTTTGCTTCCTGGTGGACCATCACGCAGAGAGTCAAGGTTGATGGGAAGACCCCCCGTTAGGTCTGCAGGTTCTTGCGGATAGTAGGAGTTGGCTTGAGCGAGCTCTGCTTCCCCAGGAGGAAGCATATTTTGTGGCATCACTGTCGGTGGTGGCTGCTGCGACATTTCTCTTGGAATAGAAAATCACAAGATGAGCGAAAGGCGCTGAACTTGCTGGCAACCTGTGGAAGTTCCGTTGATGTTGAAAAGAGCTTTCATCAAGGGGGAACATGTGCGGCTTATGTCAGGCGTGAGAAATGTGGTCGCGCACGGGCCAGTTTCCTCTCGCAGATACAGCCATTGTTGTCGAAATATGTCTCGTCATCGTAGACCGCGGTGACAACGAGCGTTGTGGGTAAGTGTAATCAAGTTGATTTGTTTGTTTTGCCTAACCGACATACAGACCGACACAAGTGTCCAAATTGTTGATGACACTGTAAAACAAAATCCAAACCGACCACGCTCTCCAATACACAAACAAAGTTCGCATCAGCCGACTATGTTACTCAATAATAATCTTGCATCATTCAAGCCGACCTCATTCAAATCCTGGTTGTCCGTACCTTCACCTTTCATTCTCGATATTCGAGCCCAGGTGTTACGCTGGGTTTAGAGAGCCTCACGGCACCAGGCACTGCTCAGTGCGAAAAAACTCAGTTGCTATTTCGTCACCGGCATCCTTCTAGGAAGTCCTGAGCCTTATATCGGGCTTGATTTTCCTATGTGTGTCTTTTTCAGAATAACAGACATGTCCGGTGGTCGCTAAAATTCTGCCGCTACCGCTAAATCAGGAGTTATGTCCTACCTTCTTTGTCGAGCCTCGCAGCCCTGGTCCTACTGCAACAAGCCTTCTAGCAGAGTCTACTTACCAACGTGCTGCATGATGGCAGAGTCAACACGTCTTACTCTTGAACGGCCACATCCCGCCAAGGTGAGCTGTGTATCTTTCGCTCGTGATCAAATGATGTGCACATGGCAGATTATGAAAATCCATCCCATTGGTAGCAGGTATGCACGCAACAGCTGCACGAAATATATTGCACTGGTGTTCAACGTTGGATGATGCTAAGGATCATTTCCATGTTTCGAACGTCTCTGAGGCAACAGGGCCTGTCGTCGCATCACCTTCGATGCGTAGTTGTTCTCTGTGCATAGCAATGCGCCTCGGTTCCATGGACTGACCTCGTCTTCTCGCGACCTTTGTCTTGTAGTCTTGGCACACCGGCGTGTTTTCTCATCCTTAAAAAGATGGGACGTTGGCGGATAATGTCCTGACTGCATATACCACGCATGACGATTGGTGGCTCCCATCGATTTGTGAAGCCTGCGCTCGTGGAAGCCATTATCTCTTAACAAAATTCTCCGAGTCTACTACAACAAAATACATCACGGTCTGTCTCTACCCGATTCGACGATCATATAGTTGCTCGTGCTCGATCTCCGCGGAGAAACTTCATCTGACAAAAATGACTGCTCAATCCTGGGGAAAGTTTCCTCTCCATTCCTTGGACCTATGCATAAACATGTCCGGCAATTAGGTTTCCCAATCCGTTCATCTAGCTCCAGCTGATGTCTATGATGTACCCTGCTCGTACAAAAAACAAGGATATTCTTGCAACGAACCAATGATTGGATCGTCTAGGCACATACTTGAGCCGGTGGTTCGAACGCCAGAAATCACGGGAAAAAATAATTCACCCAAGGGCTTTATCAGGACAATAAATTTCAGCCTGTGTGGCTTACCGCCATGATTGTAGAATCAGAAGATTTCCGGGGTCGTGTTCGGACAAAGATAGGACTCTTTCTTGGCAAGAAACACTTATCCGCAGTGAGGAATACTGCTCCCCTCAATCGGTTCGGCTAAGGCAGATGAGCTCTATGATGATCATATAAATCCTGTTTGGTCTGCCGGGCACGGGGGCCTACCACAGACGCACGCCGGGTCGGTGCCCGTGTATCCGAATTGGCAGTCCGTATCTACTGTCTGCTAGAACAAGAAGGCAGATATCTTGATCATATACATATTATTGTCGCTGTCACCGGCAAACTACAAGTAAACATTCCCAACATCCGACCTTGAAGAACTCAGCTCGTGGAGACTTAGGAAGCACATCAGTTCATACCAACAAGTCTCGCCGGTGACCGATCATGATGTGCATTACACTTACACGCACGTCTACCGCGACATAAAAGCCGTCAAATTGCACGACCGGTGCACTTCAGCTCAACTATAAACATAGTCATAAGGTCTTGCTGATGACAAACAGATCAGCGCGAATGCCACAATCATGAGAGTCGAAACATACGCAGGCGATATTGCGAGGTGATTGTGTCGATTAACTCCGCCTTCTTTTGACAGCGGTTGATTAACCCCGGCATCCAGCCAGAGGGATGTCAGCGCCCACAGCTTCTCTGACAAGAGCTGCATTGGGAGACTGAACGAACACCTTCCCAATACAGTGTCGCTGCTCCCAGAGATACTAGGGTGTGTTGGAAAATAATCACAGCAGCTTATTATCAATAACCGGCAGACTCATCGGGGTATTGCCTAAAATCTCACCAGACTCAAGTTGGCCAGTTTTATCCAACATTGGTGAGCTAGATAACAAACATTCGAGATAAGAACTATGTGGACTCGGATCAGCTATGACTCGGAGCAATAGGAGATACTAAATATTGTGACTTGAACCATTTCTCCTCATCTTCAGGGCGCCGCCGGGCCGCCAACAGTGGGTCATGATGAAAAGGCAGGAATGGTTTAGGATCAATCTACTTACATGCTGTCATTGTAAACACATCAGCTGTTCGGTCAGCGAGACTGCAGCTCAACAGAGGATGGTAAGTATATCCTTATCAAGGAATCAGCACTGTGTTTGCTTAGTGAGGCCTGAGCTCGGCAGAAATCGACACTCGCAACCTGTTCAAGGGATCAGCAATGCGTCTGGTCAGCAAGGCTCGATCTCGACAGATGATCAATATACTCGTACGCTGTCAACAGTTCAGCGAGGACCAACAAGGCTCGAGCTCAATAGATTATCAACACACTCACAATCTGTCAACAGAGGTCAGTTGAATATGTTCTGTCAGAAAGACTGAGCTCGTCGAAGGATCAACCCACTCATAGATAACACACCCACATAGTCTACGATCTGGCAATCCCCAAATTTCCCAAATATGCCCGATGAGATTGTCCGAGCAGAGCCGCAAGTGGCCTCATTAAAATCTAGTACTAGTTGTTATTTCTTGCCACAGATCAGGTTCGAGGAGTTACATTTCGACTAATGCGCACCTTCTAGTTGGTCCGCTCAATTGGGACAAATAGCTGCTTGAGCGAATAATTATTCAGAACTTCAGCCGTGCGTTTGATGAGTAACCCGCAGTCCGCATCATGGAAATCGTAAATGTACGAAAGCGGTGATTGTACAAAAGCCTTAGGTATGGTCCATTAGAAAATACTCCTCTGGCGTACTGCGAGGCCTGTGCTTGAGCATCTTTCCTCGATACTCCCGCATCGTCGTAGAGGGCGTCGAATTTCCTATTACTGGAACTAAGGATTGCAAATGATATGACGAGTGCTGTGCTTACTAGTACATCCAGTGTCCCGTCGCTGACTGAAAAACTGCCATCCTCCTCAAATCTGCATGAAACGTGGAGGACAAATACCCGGTTGTGTGGAAAAAATTATTTTATTCACGATATAGTGTAGTTCGATGCTGGGGACTTATTTTCAAGTGACTTCACTAAACTTGGTGAGAGCGCTACCCTAGGACGCGAGTAATCACATGATATTATTTGTTCATGTTTTAAACTTGAGCTTGAACGCACTGAACAGTGAAATTGACCTCAATATTACTGTGGTCCGTGGATCTGCAACATGTATATGCTACCCTGCCGACCGTCCCCGTCGAAATGCACATCCTTAACATTGGTGATTAAACGCCATATATCGCGGGCTGCCTCAAAACACCACGTCCGCATGCGCGCCCTTGTCTCTTTATACCACCAGTGCGACACCTTTGTAACTCCCGAAAACCTCTCCCAGAAAATCGATGAAGCCTTTGTTCCCCGAACAAACAATCTCACCTACAACTCCAACTTCGAGAAACGCAGTTTTGCAGAGCTGAAGAGGTTAGCTGCCGAAAGAGAAGAGGAGCCACGCCATTTCTTCGGAAAGAGCATGAAGCTGTCTCCCATCGGCCTAAGGGGATCGTTGGCATCTTCAAGCCCCAACAACGACCAACAAAGAACCGCGAGGGCAACAGAGGCGCTCGTAGGGGTGAGCCGGGATGGGAAGCCGTTGTGGACTGCAGTCCAAGAGAATGCACCGAAAATAGAAAAACAACTACAGGAAGATCGGAGGCAGGGCGTTTAGCTAGGTAAGCCAATTTGTTGCTTACATCTGCTTACTCCGATCATGACGGTCTATCCAGAGTTGTCACTTGGCCTTGCGGATGGTTAGGCAGACTCATTAGAGTGACTCAGCATTATTTTTATTTTCATTCTGCCATATTGCATCCGGTTACTCCTTATATTGACGGCGAACTTCTGGCTCATCATGGACCTGTAATTGTGACGGAAAACCGGGCGGTAAGGCGCAGTGAGTTATATTGCGTGAACGCCATGTCTGGGCGCACCGGTAGACTCAGTCCAATTTCATTTATCTGAGACTGGCAAGATCAATCGGAACTGCTAAATAGATCTTGCACTGGCATACGGATGGCACATGAAATAGTAAGCAGCTTTCATACTACAGCTGTGGATGGCAGCTAACCTATTATGTGCCGCCTTAAGTATTTACCTATGTATAAGTAACAATGCAACTGCGCGTAACCCAACTCGGTCCACCATGAGCTCCTCGCTGGCCGGTAAACTCAGAGCTTTTGTGTTTAATCCACATAATGGCCCAAAGGTATATCAGGACCTGCAGGCTGCTGATGTGCCAGTAACGACTGCCGAATGCAGGTCTTGCGCCGACCCTTGTGATCAGGGTGAGCCTATCATGATCAAACCATACCTTGTCACGCGCACCAACATCGATCTGTAGATCACGATGACTTTTCTAGCAGATTGGACATCGACCTGGACTCGGATATGATAGGATCAGTGAAGCCCTACCGCCGACAGGTGCGTCCATTGCACTCGCGCACCATTGTAATATGATTTGTTGATATGATGGTGACCCAGGTGGTCATATCAACAGGCAAAACAGACTGGGAGAAGGAAGTAACCGAAGTCGAAGGCACGCTTGCTGCCTTGTTGATAACTGCCAACTCTTCATTGGGCACTTCAAAGAAGCCCCAGTCCACCAACGATCCACTACCGTCTGGTCTTTTCTCTCATACCAAAGCAGGAAGGCTTGCCATTCTCAATGGAAGTCACAGACCTTTCTCTCGTGATGAGTCGGAAGAGACTGTGATCGTCCTTCCTGACTTTATGGTCGTTTCTGGAGTCCCACGAACTTTGGCGGGCGCTGAGGCGTTGTGGAAAGCTGCTCTTGATCCAGCTCTCGATCGGGTTGGCGTGACCACCACCCGATCGGACAATCTCAGTACATGGGTTCTACCATACTCGTGTCTGATACTGCTGTGTAAGTTTCTATACAGTCGCGTGTTTAAATATATCTCATGAGTTCTACTAGGCTCACACAAGAGACGAGATAAACGATGTGCCATCGCAGCGCCAGTGTTAGAGAAGAGTGAGTCCGCTGACTCCTTCCCGGCCCTGAATTAACGCCTACGAAAGCCTTCCAGCAATATCTCGAGCGAGAGGGCTGGGAAGTCCACACCGACCTGCACGATCTCACTTCCGAACCCTCCCTCGAGTCACAAGCTACCTCAACCACCGAGAAGGAACAATTAATCGAGACTCAACTCAAGTCCCTTCACGCTGAGCACAAGGCGCTCATATTAAAGAACTCACATATCGGCGGTCATAAATTCGCAGGCAACTGCATCGTGTGTGACCTTTTTGTTGTCTAAACGATATGTTGACGTCGATCTTGCAGATCTACACTCCTCGTGGAGCTGGTGTATGGTATGGGCGTGTCACGCCTCATGAAGTAGAATCGATTGTAAAGCACACGATTATTGATGGCCAAGTCCTCCCAACTATTTTTCGTGGTGGGGTTGACCTCGCCTGCCGCGGAAAAAAGACCCTGTATGATTGGTGACGGAACCATCCCTTAGATATCAATGATAGATGCTGTAACCTGCTAGTGGAATTCACGCGTGTCCCACCCAAACGACGAAAGGGATACAGGCCACATGAATTATTACAACTCCTTTAAAATGGGGTACGTTATACTATAGAACAACAGCGATAACAGAAGCAGGTAAAAACAATCCACGATGGACAATCTTGTGTTCGACTCGAAACAAGAGATATATAACATGCTCCATAAAGAGGATATGAGAAAAGGGGGGGAATTGCATGGGGAAGGGTGGCGAGAACAAATATGCGATTAAATCAGATAAGTAGTAATGGGAGGCATAGTACCTCAAGCGGTGAGCGCATGCACCAAATAATGCAAAGGTCCAAATTCGTCCGGATGGAATAAAAGCTCCGCGAGGCGCCGACCGCCTTGGACGGCGTGCGCAGCTAATACATCATACAGCTATATCTTCATCGATTCCTCTTCTTCGGTTCGAGTACCGTCCCGCGAAACTCTCCCTGTCTTCGAACTCGTCTTCTGTGGTCACCTCTGTGATCTCTTCATCGGCCACTGCCTCATCCTCATCCTCATCAGGTTCTCTACCCATGATGCCCGGCATCACCATACTTTCGCCTCCAGAATACGTGAACCCGCGGAAATTCTCTTGAACGCTGTTAGTCAGCGGCGACCCTGCTACATCTTGCTTCTTCCGCGATCCAATCTTGATGGCACGTCCCGCGCCATTTCCAGTAAGCAAGGAAGGGGGAGGGGGCACTGAACCATTTGAATTTACGCCATTGACATGACGGTCACTACCCAGTGGTCCGTTCGGCATGTGCGATCCTGGCAAGCCGCACTGCATTTGTGTCCATTCTTCGCTAGGATCTTCTTCGTCCGGACTTCCATGCCCGTCGAGACCACCACCAACCTCTTTGATATCAGCAGTGGTGAACTCTGGATCGAAGTTCGCAGTCGACTCATCCGACTCTACGACGGGTTTAAACGGTGGCGTCACCTGCTTGAGGAGAAGAGCTTTCCAATCTATACATGAGAAGAACGGGTGTTCTTTCAGTTCCGCGGCATCGCGTTGTGCCCCCAAGCGATGTTTAGGATTTCGGTTTAAAAGCTTGATAAGCGGTTATCGGAAATGTCGAAACGAATTGAATCACGGCACTCACCCCCTTCACAAACATCTTGCCGTCTTCGCTGATAACGTTTCTCGGGAACCGAATCTTCCCAAAACAAATGTTCTTGTACATTTGCTGTGTGTCTTCAGCATAAAATGGACTCCAGCCGCAGCACATCTCGAAGAGGAGTACGCCCAGTGACCAAAAGTCGACAAGTTTGCTATATCCATGCTCGTCCAAAAGCACTTCAGGAGCGAGGTACTCGGTTGTGCCACAGAATGTCGTGGTGAGTTCGTCGGACCGTAGATCCGCCTTTGATAACCCAAAATCGCAGAGGGCGACATGGCCAGTGGCGTCAAGAAGGATATTTTCCGGCTTGAGATCCCGATAAACAATGTTGTATCTATGCAGATGCTCCAGGGCCAGAACCAGCTCTGCGATATAAAATCGGGCCCGTTCTTCGGAGAAACGCGTCTCTTTCTGGAGGTGCCAGAACAGTTCGCCACCGCTCTTGAAGTCCGTTATCAAGTACAAATCTGTATCCGTCTGGAAACTGAATTTGAGGCCAACAAGGAATGGTGATTCTAGAGAACGCTGTAGGATCTTTCGCTCTCCGATCGTGTGAGCGACCTCCTTCTTGGCAACAATTTCCCTCTTTGATAGAACTTTCATAGCATAAATTCGCTTTGTATCGCATTTCCGGACTTGGAAAACCTTGCCAAAGGTACCGCGTCCGATCAACTTGAGGAACTCAAAGTCGCGTGGTGTAAGCGCACGTTTGGTCTGTCACATGAAAGTTGAGAGTGAGTGAGAAGCGTTGTCAGGAGGGGAGATCAAGTGATGCGAAAGGGAGGCCGAAATCGTGGAGTGGGTGAGAATGAAAGAGGTTAGACTGGTGTAACGTACCTTGTATTGCTCGAATGTGATCTGTACCCGCATTTCTCCGCTTATTACTTCATTTTCGAACGGCCGAAGCCTGTGCGTACATAAGCAAATGATGCCATTAGTAACGGAAGGACGGGATGACAGTTGACAGGGCAAGTGGGAAGATGTACGAGATGGTACGTACTTGTACCATTGATCAACTGTATGGTCATGGATCAGGACTGGCTTGATTTGTACTGTGCCGAGAAATAGATGGTCCGCGACACGGTCATACAGGTTAAATGAAACAAGGGATTCTTCGGACGTAACGTCGCTAGAAAGAATTAGAAAGCGAAATTTGATAAGTTGATTATAGGATACTGACAATGACACCTCGTGTTTCCACACGGGATTATGTGCGGATAAGCGACCAAAAAGGCCTAGAGTTGTAGAAGGTTGGTTGGTTGGGGAAGGTTGATTGCATGAAAGAGATGAAGAGGGGGAATTTCCGGGACTAGGCTTGCCTAGTGGACGGGGAACGCCGATAGATGAGAGAGCTGAGAGAGCAATAGAGGAAGAGGCGCGAGAGAGAGCGGTCGCGGTTCCCTTGACCTCCTTGTCCGTTTCGTCGGTGGGATCACGACTTACGAACTCGTTTTGCTCGAATTGAACGACGACATAAGGTCGTGAGCGTACGGATGTGACATTAAGACCACGGGCAGATATGAGCTTGACGTGGATCTGACCCTTTGATGTACCGCCGGTTGAGTGGGGAGGAGCGGTTGAGGTAGATGCGATTGAGGAGGTCCTAGTCGAGGGGGACGATGACGATGGCGTATTGGATTTATTCTCCATTGAATCTGAGAGGTTGGGCGATTTTTTAGTGTTACGCATTGAAAAATCCGGTGCATGAAGGGAAATTTGGGTTGTAGGAATACGAGCGGCAAAGGCACCGGATAGAGGTGTTATAGGACCTGGCGGCGTGAGATCGGCGTTCGCCGTGGTAAGAGAGGGAGAGCCAGTTCCCAGTAAATGGTGATGAATTGAAAAGGCTGGTGAAGTTATAGTTGGAGTTGCAAGACCATTGCTGGATGAGCGCGGTGAATGAGATGATTGTACCTCGAAAGGATTAGGACGCTCATGACCATCAGCATCAACTCTGGGTGTTATCTGGTCAATAGCTGACCAGAGTTTAATCATTTTTTGAATTGACAAAAAAGACAGTGAAGAAGAAGACGACGAGGAAGACGACGACGACGACTTATCGGACAAAAGTGGAGCGGACCTCATTTTATGATATGTGGTGGAGTGTTCGAGGCTCACTACTGTTTTAAGAAGATCATCATACGCTAACCGAGTAAATTTTTAGATAAAGTCTCCTCGCGCTCTCTTCAAATATTCTCTAGCCCATCGAAGAAATCCCATT